AGGAACAGGGAAAAGAAAAAATGCTGAAAACTAGGACCTGGGAGGGGAAGATTAAGAATAATAGTAAAAAGGACAAAAGTATTAATAATAATAGTTGTTTTAAAACAGACAAATATAAGCAAACTAATCATCAGAAAAAAGAAAGCAAAAAAGAAAAAAATAGAGAAAAAAAATCAGTCTAGGACAGAGCAGGGCACCCAAGCTCTGTCTGAGCACACAGACTGTGATGGAATTCCTGTGGGCCCAGAAGGTGAGTGGGAGTGGGGGATGGCCACACCTCCATTCACCAAGCGGGTGTGGGGTATAAGAGTAACAAGAGGAATGTGGTACCTTTTCAGTCTTGCAGGTCCGGAGCGTCCTTGGCATTGCTGGAAAGGAGAACATGTTCGTAAGCCCCAGAAGTCTGCAAGAGCGCTGTCTCTTTAAATATTCAAAATAGTCAAGCCACTTTTAAACCTTCAAAATGGTGGCACCTCCTGACCAGCAAAAGTCCACAGTTCAGCCTGCCTTTCTCTGCACCTTCTCTGTTTATTCCCCAGCCACCAGAGCAGTCCTCCGTGCAGTCCCTGGCTAGCAGGGCTGATTTTTTTTGGTTAATTCTTAGGTCCTACCACCACTCGGGAATCTCCAAGCTGTCTGTGCCATCAGGATCGCTCAGGATCTCTGCCAGACCGCAGCTCTGTATGTCTCCTTTTTTGGTATTTTCACACAAATTCTTCTGCTAGTTGGGGTTTAGTTCACTTCTATATCCTTCCCTTCAAGGCTCAGGGGTCCAAGATTATCTTCTGTGTCTGCGTTAATTGGTTTCCCTTTTTTTTGTTGAAGATGGTCTGTGCAGTCTTTCTGCCTAGTCCACCATCTTGCCGGAACTCCTCGGGATGTTTTCTTTTATCATAAAGTATGTTTTATATATAATACAACATTGTTTTTCAAACTTTAGTGTCTAAGAATCGCCCCATATTTTTGATTAAAAAATGCAAATTTCTGAGCTTATTCACAGAGACTTTTAATTGTCAGGTTTGAGGCAATGAGTCTGCAATCTGTGGATAGGCTGATTGTTCTGTTGCACAATGTTACCAGGCAAAATGTTAAAAGACATCACACGAGCATTTATATATTAAAAAAAAAAAAACAAGATCTATTCTGCATGCTCTCTCTTGCTCTTTCTCTGTTTCTCTCTCTTTCTATCATTTTTAGAACTGTTAGTTTTACAATCATAAATATAAGTGAACTTACCTTACTCAAATGCTAGGGCAGTGGATCTCAATGCGGGATGATCTCCATGCTATACTGCTGTGACATCAGCAATGTCTGGAGACATTTTTGGGTGTTAAATTCCAAGGAGGTGAATTCCACTGACATTTAGTAAGTAGAAGTCAGAGATGCTGCTAAATATCCTACAATAAATAGAGCCCCCACCACAAAAACCCATGAGGAGAAAGATAGTCCTAAGTTGAGGAATTTTCCTCATCACACTGGGTTGTTAATGACAGGAGGGTGGTTCCCTTACGGCTCTGTCAATGTAACCTCTTAAGTCCTCTGGAAGGGAACCTATACATTTGGTCCAGATGGATGGAGCAGGTGAGACTCTTCTGTCTCCCTCCTTCTCTCCCCAGTACTGTCCTAGACCTCCTCTCTCCTCCCTCCTAACCCTCATCTCTTACTTGCTCCCTTCTTAACTCCTTCCTTCTCTCCCTTCTCATCCTGGTCTTCCTTTTCCTCTTTCTTCTCTCTCATCTTTCTCCCTCTTTTGTCTATCAAATTTCTCTTTCTTATCTCCAGTATCCAAGACTGACTATAGACATAGGTAGGTTATTTTATTTTTTATTGTGATTTGGGTGAAAATCTACAGAGCAAATACGCTTTCCATACAGCAGTTCACATACACTCTGTCTGATGGCATTGACCACAATTTACCACAACGCAACATCTCCCCTCCCACTTCCTCCCGATAGTTACCCCTTTCCTGTGTCAATCCCTCCATGCACTCGGTAGGTTATTTTTAAAGTCAATATTTCAAAGGAGTTTAAACAGATTTTGAGTTGTCAATTGAAGTTTTTTAAATTTCTGAAATCTTGGCATTTAGAACAGAATTAGGTGAGAGATATGGGGCCTGCACAGGAAGTAGAAGCAGGGAGATTTTCACAATTGACTAGATCTCCTTATTTCTTTCTTATTTCCCACAGGAAAATGTGGCAGACTTTTGTCATTATGCACCCGCTGTCTCTGCTACTACTGCTATTCCAAAGAACACTGCAATTCCAGAGGAATTATTCTAAATTCATTTTACCAGATTCTTTGCAAGAAGATTTTGAATATTATTTTGGGGATTTTTTTGGTACAGGCGCTACCATAGAACCTAGCAAAGAAAACTTCAAGCTGAGGATGATTGTTATACCTGAAAGATCAATATTTGATGACTCATTCTGTAGTGATGCAATCATGTTTAAAAATATTCACAATAAATTTCATTGTGTGGAAGAACACTACTTCCTCCAAGAGCCATATGAGGAGATAAAAAAGATCTGTTCCTATTCATTTACAAATTGTAAGAATGGCATTAGAAAATGTAACAGGAGCAAGAAAGTGATGGATGGCTTGTACTGTAAATTAGAAACAGGAACCAGAATACCAGACTGTAGATACCAATCATTTTATAGGCGAGGACTTGCCCTTATCACTTGTAAATGGCAAAATAAAATTGGAGAGCTTGTTCCTTTTTCTGTAGAAGATATTTCAATGCCATATGGCAATTAGAAAAACCTATACCAGGAAGTTGTCTTCTTCCTACCGTTCTAGCAGAGTGATATGTAGCTGGTTAGGGAAGGATGATTTAACCCTCTGTGTACTGATTCTCATAGATCAAAATAGTCAATAGTCATTTTGATGCTTTTCATTTTAATCAGCCAGCCCACCTCCCCTAAGCATTTCCTAAAGGCAACATGGGCTGCTTCACAGATTGTGCTCAGACGTGTGGTTTCAAATATGTCACAGAGTTTTGTATGTTTTCAGTATGTTGTGAATATGAATCCTTGCAGTGATACCATGACTAAGAGAAGGAGGAAATGACTATCAGATGTGTGTTCCAAAGACATGTTTATCTGATCATTTAGTTCAGCAGAAATAATAAAGTGCATTGGCCTGCTGAAGGAGCTCTGTGTATGTTTTTACGGGGTTTCTGGGTCTGAATTTTCTTTCTCTGTAACAATTTGACACAAAAGGAGCTCAAAATCCCATGAGACATTGTGCAGTTCATCTTTCCAGTGCTATATTTGTAGATATTTCACCTGTCCTTTTCTTTACATATGACACAATCCTTATGGGCCATGAAAAAAGAGATCCTAGTAGTTCTGGCAGCATAGTGCCTAAGGCACTTGACCGCTAACCAGAAGGCTAGTGGTTCAAACCCACCAGCCACTCCTCGGAAAGAAGGTTGGGCAATCTACTCCCGTAGTGATACTGCCTCGAAAACCCAGGGAGGGGTCGCTATGAGTTGGGTCTGACTCGACGGTACATAACAACAACAGTAGCATCTCAGGATCAATTCTTTATACATTTTGAATAAAAAACTCCCCAAAGTATCTTTCAATTTTCCAATGTTACTTTTGTCATTGTTCACAGCTTTGTGTAGCTTAGACACCACTGTTCACAAAACTACAAACAATTCCTCTCTTTATGGCATAGTCACAATTATTCACAACTCCTTTCCTCACTTTCTAGCAGATGTGGCTCCCTCTGAGAACATACCACTTCATGGAAAGGCTGGATACTCTTCAAAATAATAATAATAACAGTAAAACTATATCCAGTTCAAGTAACAATTTCCTCCATTTTATCTTCCAGACATAACATCTTTGTATTATTATTCCCTATAACTTAATGAAAATGGAATAAGGAGCAGTGAGGGTGGTGGTTGAGTGTCTATTGCTTTTGGCCCATTTTACCCCAATTGAATAAGCTATTCTCCTCCTCATTCTTTTTCCCTATCTTTAGACTCAGAACTAAGGTCCTAATTTATCAACCAATTGATCTACAACAAAAACTCAGGGCCAACCAATCTCCTTTTTAGTGACCAAGGTCACACAATTTAGGATATGTAGTGACATTGTATATTTTATCCAAATCCTTTTTTCTTTCTCTCTCTAAGATAGATCTTTTTCCTATATCTAAGACATGAGGATCTTAACTTCTATAAACTATTATATTTTTAGAAGATGGGAACAAATGGTTCATTTCTTACTCATGTGTTCAGTGGAGTGACTGACTCTGAAATTGGCATTGAGGCTGAGAATAAATATTCCACCCCAGTTTTCATGGTTGGAAGATTACAAAAGTTAGTAAACAATACCAAGTTCTTCTTATGAGATCAAAGGTGATATCTCCAGCAAGTTAAAGCCTTTGGAGAGTGACCCTAACTCTATGAAAAGAACAGGCTTTAACCAAAATGAGATTTTTAATTTAGGGATATCTTCTCGACAAGAGTGGATTCTGAGACTGTGTAAGTTTTCCATCCACCTGTTTATAAACTTCAAGAGAAAAAGGACATTCACTGGGATAATAAGTTTGCATATAAATATACTTACTCAGCCCTTAAAATGTCAAATATTGCCTGGCTACCACTATCAATCACTCAGAAAAGGATCATAATAGGAGATCCTGGATAGAGTGAGAGAAAAATGTAGAACATAACTCAAAATTATAAAAAAAAAAAAAAAGACCAGGCTTACTGGTCTGGTAGAGACTGATGAAACCCTGAGACTATGGCCCCTAATCACTCTTCAGGCCTGGAATTGAATTCACTCCCATGGGTTCCAGCCAAACAATAGACAGGTCTACACAGTGAACAATTACAATATGTAGGTACACTCCTTAGAATAATCAACCATGGGAGACCAGAAGAGTAGCATTTGCACAGGAAGATAGCTCAGCGGGCAGGAATGCATAGGAAAGAAGGACACAGGGAAAAGCTAACCACAGGGAGGAAGTGGGAAGAGAACTGGTACATTTAGGGATTGCAGTCAATGTCAAGAAACAAAATATGTATGAACTGTTGAGTGGAAAATGAATTTGCTCTATAAACTTTCACCCAAATTGCAATAAAAAACAAATAAATAATTTAAATTAAAAAAAAAATAAAAGGTCAAATATTATGAAAAAAAGCATGAAAGGGACTTGGAGGCATCTTCTAACCTCCTCCAACCTCACAAGGGAGAAACAGAGTCACCATCAACAGCCCAAGGCTTATTTCTATGAGGCCTGACATGTCACCACCCTCCAGCCTTTTTACCAATTCTGGCACCACCAACCGTCCTTCCCATGGCATTCACTACTTCTCTGCTAAGTTCAGTCATTCATTGCAATGGCCTCACATAACTCATGAACAGTACTCATGATTATGGGGTTTATTAGGGAAGTAAAAGGCCACAATTCAGGTTCAGGAATGTGCTCAGGATACAATTCTTTGATCAGGACAATCTCTCCCCTGCTGTGCCCTCAGACACTCCTCTCTGGGCCTTGGCCTCTCAGCCTGGCCTCTGCCCTGCTCAGATAAGTGTTACAAAGCTCTATTAGCTCTGCTGATAGGTACACCTAGGTTCACCCCACTCCACCACCAAGGTTCCTGTCCAAGGGTACTCAGCTTTCCACTCTATGGGCCAGGTAAGCCTTCTGCTCTATCTCATGACTCTTGGTTTCACTGCTACCATCTCTCTGCCAAGCATCTCTCTCTGCCAGGCCAGCTCTCTCTGCTGGGGCATCTCTGACATGGAGGTCCAGTGCAGGGATCTCAAGTCCAAGGATGCACTCTATTTCACCTCCAGCTCTTTTCTCTAAATGACAGTGAGATCCCACTCTCTGTCTCTAGGAAAACTCATTTTAAGCCTTGCAGAGTGACAAAACTAAACAATCCCAACATCAGAGTTCTACATACTTTATTTGCATGGTCTTACCCAGTAATCTCCCCCCGCCACATGCTCGGCCCCACATGTCCAGGCCTTGGTATCTATATTTTGAATAAGCTTGGCATTTCTCAAGCTGAAAGAATTAAGGAAAAAATTTAAGCCCCGAGTTGCAATATTGAAAGATTCTAAGGGCAAAACACTGAACGATGCAGGGAACATCAAAAGAAGATGGAAGGAATACACAGAGTCACTGTACCAAAAAGAACTGGTTGATCTTCATCCATTTCAGGAGGTGGCATATGATCTAGAACCAATGGTACTGAAGGAGGAAGTTGAAGCTCCAATGAAGGAATTGGTGAAGAACAAGGCTCCGGGAATTGATGGAATACCCACTGAGATATTTCAACAAATGGATGCCGTACTGGAGGCACTCACTTGGTTATGTCAAGAGATTTGGAAGACAGCTACCTGGCCAACTGACTGGAAGAGATCCATATTTGTTCCCATTCCAAAGAAATTTGTACCCATTCCACAGAATGTGGAAATTATCGAACAATATCATTAATATCACATGCAAGTAAGATCTTACCAAAAATAATTAAAAAACAGTTGCAGCAGTATATTGACAGAGAACTTCTAGAGGTTCAAGCTGGATTCAGAAGAGGATGTGGAACAAGGGTTATCATAGCTGCTGTCAGATGGATCTTGGCTCAAGGCAAAGAATACCAGAAAGATGTTTACTTGTGTTTTATTGACTATGCAAAGGCATTTGATTGTGT